ATTATTGTAAGCCGCCCTGAGTCCCCTCAGGGAAAAGGGCGGCCTATAAGTGTTCAATAAAACTCTAAAAAAACTCTAAACCTCCTTAAACAATCCCAGGAATATCCTCTCTCGCAGCCAGGTATCTTGAACCCATGTGTGAACCCATTTGCTGGTCACCATCTGGAGTCTTTCAGAAAGGGTGAACAAGGATTTAAAGGACAGGTTGTTGCACAGACAGCATTTCCTTTTCCTTAGGGGCAACAGGGTCAAACTGATTCCAAATTATTAGCAAGATGATTCCCTGAGCACCACACAAGAGTTCCAACAAATCCAAGCAACTTTTTCTGACAGGTGTTCAACAAATTCTTCTGGTGTCAGTGATTCAAGCCCCAGAGTCTTTGCACTGTACCTCTTGCAACGCACAAAGGGGGTGGGGCTTCAATTGCACAGCTGTGGCCACCATCTTGGCTTCTTAACCCTTCTAAAGACGCCCTGGTGCTTAGATTCAGACATCACAACTGCTAAGAATGGCAAATCAAGCAAAGGGTTTAAGAGGTGAAGACAGGCAGAGATTGCAAGCAGCCATCTATGGCACCAGGATGAAATCCTACCGTAGCTGCAAAGGTGAATCGCCCTGACCTTGCCTGGCTGTGAAGACTATTAAACAGTGGCCTCCAAGAGTGGGGGGGGGGGTGTCGGGAAAAGACAGGATGGCCATTTGTCTATGATGATAAGAGATTCCCTTAGGCCCAGTCCTCTTCCATCTTCATAAACAATTTGGATGAGGGAATAGAAAGGGAACCAACTTTTTACTTAGGGGGGGATTGTGTCTCATTAATTCCATCTAATCATATATTTATTTAATACTTATATAATGTAGAGGTGATCCCATGCTAAGTGGTTCTGGGCAGCTTAAAAAAATTGGAATAATGAGGTAGAGCAACTGTCTCAGAGGTGGGTTGATGTCGGTTCAGCCCAGATCAGCCAAACCGGTAGTAGCAGCGGCAGGAGGCTCTGCCCACCCACCTGGATGCTTCTGCGCATGTGCAGAAGTGGTGCGCACGGAGGCGGGAGCACACCCAAACCAGTAGTAAAAAAAAAGTAGCAACCAACCTCTGAACTGCCTGTGGACATTCTCAGTCCTCCAGGACACAGTTGTCTCAAAGGTGTTTTTTCAAAAGGCACCTGGTCTGTTTTTTCCTTGAGGTAGGAGATCTTTTACTTCTTG